AAACATTGTAAATTCAACTACCATATTATCCAGGCATTCCACATATAAGTGATTTACTCAAGATGAATGAAAGTATATGCCCACACACAGATTTATGTATAAATGTTCATATCAGCTTTATTGATAACTACCAAAAAAATGCAAAAACCCAAATGTCCATCAAAAAGTAAAAGGATCCAAATATTGTGGCGTATCTATTTCATGGACTACGACTCAGTAATAAACGGAATAAAGTATTGATACATGCACTGTGCGGATGGATCTTAAAATAATTATATTGCAGAAAAGAAAACAATTCCCCAAAAGGGTTAAACCTGATGATTTCATTCATATACAATGCTATTAAATGCATATATAGTGACAGAAAACAGAGAAATGTTGCCGAGGGCAAAGGTATCTTATGCCATGAGGGAAGAGGAGGGTAAAAGGATTAAAAATGGACACAAGGAGACTTTTTGTGGTGACCTATATTCATTATCTGATTTGTAACCATGGATTCATGGCTGTATGCATGTGTTAAAACTCAAAATATATACTTTAAATATGCATAGCTTACTGTATGTCAGGTAAACCACAATAAAACTGTTTAAAAAGCACCCTTAGGGATTCCTGGGTGGCTCAGTTGGTGGAGCATCCCACTCTATTTCGGCTGAGGTCATGATCCCAGGGTCATGGAATTGCGCTCTGCATCCGGCTCTGTGATGAGTGTGGAGTCTGCCTAAGATTCTCTCCCCAACTCTCACTCTGACCCTCTCTCCTGGTCATGCTCTCCCTCTCTCTCTTAAAACAAACAAACAAACAAACAAACAAACAAACAAACAGCATACTCTATATTAGAAATTATACTAACTACTGCTGAACAGGATAACAATAGGATAGGAGAAGTGTCACCCCCAACTGAATGTACTGTATAAGCAGGATGTGTAAGGGAAGTTCACAGCCAACTATGGGTATCTTTCCTGCAGTAGGCAATATCATAAATGAGATAATAAATGCAGGAAACTTAATGAAGCCATCATATTTAGGTATTCAAAACACTTGAATCAATCCATCCATCTATCTATCTATCTATCTATCTATCTACCTATTTATCTGTCACCTCTATCCATTTACACCTCTCTGTTCCATAAATTCATGTCTATTTCACTGCTATCAAATGCAACCATCTCCTCATTTGTTTGGATTCATTTTACCGTGGAGGTGACTTATTAAGTCTCCATGTAAAGCCTTCATTTATTTTGTTAATTTTACCTTAAACTTATTTTTAGAAATAATTTCTATGTAAAATAATGAATTTTCATATAAAAAAGCATCCTTAGGCTTCATCCGAGAAATGAAATGGGGAAGATTGCTTTTCACAAAAATGCAGAGTGGTAAGAGGCAAATGTTCACAAGTATTTGTAAAATTTTTTTGAAGTTCCAAGCTAAGGAAAAATACCTGAGGTTACCTGAAGAAGAAGCAATTCTTGGTCAAGACTGACACAGAAAACCTGCCTGACCTTGCAGCCTGTCTGGCACAGCTGGGGAATTTGGACCCAAGACTGCAATACCAACTCTTACCTAATTCTCTGCCCTGCTTGCTTGACCTACAGATTTTTCACTTGCCAATCCCCACAATCATGTCAGCCAATTCTTTAAAATCTCAATTTCTCTCTCTCTGTCTCTCCATATGTATACATACATATATATTTGTATGTGTGTATGCATGTGCCTATTTACATTACATTACATTACATTATATTATGGTAGTGTCTGTTTTACTGAAGAATCCCGACTAAACACAAAGTCATTCCATAAAGATTTCTTTGATATACCTCACTGTCTCCACAGCTTTTCTAACGCCCTCTTAAGTCCTTGTTACTCATCCTTCAGAGAATTCAGTCACCCATTCTCCAGGAAATCTGCCCTGTCCTTTCCAATTCTCCATTATTCTCAATTTCCTTCAAATTTCTACTAAAAAGATATGATGTTTAACAACATTCCAATAAAGCTTTAGATTACTGGAAGGAAAAATAATGGCACTGATTTTCTCCCACATATGAGGAAGGTTGCTATCATCTGGTAGGCTGAAGAAAAGCATGTTACACTGTTAAAATAATTTACTCATTAACATTTTATCAGAAATGTACTCTAAGTTTTCATTTAGTAAGAAATACATATAAAGTGGTTCACTTATGAAAGAATAAGCAACCTTCAATGAAATATTATACTCTTATGAATGTTAATTGCTGTACAAATCTAGAAAGTAAATTATGTAAAGTTAATTCAGAGCTAATACAAGAAAATTCTTACAGGTATATGCAACACACCTTTGTATATATATTGTGAATGTAAAATATCTATTCATTTAAGAGGGAATGACTGAAGAGTGATCATGAACCTCTCCTTAATCATAAATTTACCTGAGTCCTCATCATTGTTTTGGGGGAATGGTTGTGATAAGGATTTCTGAAAGGAGGGTACTTGATTATCATCTTGATCTGGTTCTTCCTGAGATTCATCCTCTTGTCTTCTTTTAACAGAAAATGAGATTGCACCTACAACACATCAGTACAAGATACTATATTAACTAGGGATTTGTTTTCTAAAAGGAAAGGTCAATTTTAGGTATTAAACATGCTTTAGTGTGAAACTAATAAGGAACTAAACACAAATTGTAGGTGTTAGTATCAGATTTAAACCTGATGGTGGTACAGAACAATTTAATGGAAAATCCATTAATATTTATTTTAAGTATAAGTGATGGTCAGTTTTTATTTACAAAGTAGTGTCATACGTAGGTTCACAACTGGGGCTGTTACCAGCTGTGTCCCTCAGTTTGCCCAAATGTGAACTGGACGTGACACTGGTGGCAGCTGGTGACACTGGATAGTACAAAATGTCCCTGGTATTACACTGACTCCATCTGGGGCTCCTGGAGTGCTTCCAACAGTTTACGCATCTCTGAGTGGGCAGGATTGGCCCCAGACTGTGGCTGAGATGGGCTAGAGCCAGGTCACAGACTGCTTCAGAATCTGCAGTGGGCTTGAGGTTGGCAGGCCTGACCACAGAATATGTATGGGCGTGTCACCCTCTGGGTCCCTGGGCAGACAGGACTGCTTCCAGACAGCAGCTATGAGGGGCTGAACCTGGATTATAGGGCTGCTCCCAGATGTGCAGACAGACCCCGGTCTATGAGCCTAATTCTGGGGCATGCACAAGCACATCTCCCCAGACGAGGGTTCCCGGACCATGGCTGAGAGTGGCTGGCCAAGTTATAAGGCCATTTCAAGATCTGCAGTTGGACCAAGGCTGAAGGACCTGCCTCAGGGACACAGACAGGTATGTCTTCTGGCAGGTCCCTAGGGGTGCAGACATCATGGCTGAGAGGGGCTGTGAGACAGATGTGAAGTGGAATCTCCTTGTAGTTTTGGTTTGTAATTCCCTGTTGCTGAATGATGTGGAACAACTTTTCATGTGTCTGTTTGCCATCTGGATGTCTTCTTTGGAGAAATGTCTGTTCACATCTACTGCCCATTTTTAAATTGGATTAGTTTCTAGCTATTGAGTTGTAGAAGTTCTTTATATATCTTGGATACTAACCCTTTATTGGATATGTCATTATTGTTTTTGGTACCACTGTAAATAGGACTGTTTTGTTAATTTCTCTTTCTGCTGCTTCATTATTAGCATATAGGAATGCAATAGATACCATACATAGATTTGAATCCTGCAAAATTAACATTTACAGAATTCATTCATCAGTTCTATTACTTTTCTGGTAGAGCCATTTGTTAGGGTTTTCTACATAGAGCATCATGTCATCTGCAAATTGCCAGAGTTTTACTTCTTCTTTACCAAATTGGATGCCATTTCTTTCTTTTATTTTTTGAAATTATTTATTAATGTTTATTTATTTTTGAGAGCGAGATGGAAAGAATATGAATGGAGAAGGGGTAGAGAGAAAGGGAAACACAGAATCCAAAGCAGGCTCTAGGGTCTAAGCTATCAGCACAGAGCCCGATGCAGGGCTCAAACTCACGAACTGTGAGATCATGAGCTGAGCTGAAGTTGGACCCTAACCCAATGAGCCACCAAGGTATCCCTGGATGCCATTTATATCTTTATGTTGTCTAACTGCTGTGGCTAGGAGTCTAGTACTATGTTGAAGAAAAGTGGTGAGAGTAGATATCCCTGTCTCACTTCTGATCTTAGAGGAAAAGCTGTTTTTCACCATTGAGTATGATATATTATTTCCATTTTAGAGAAGGTAAACTGATACAAGATAGTTCAGTAGCTTCCCCAAAGTCAGTCGGCTCAGTATAATATAGGCAGAATATGTAGATGTGCATTCTGGTTCTAAGTCCATACTTTTTTAAAACTCAATTAAAACATTTAATTTTTTGAACACTTTTATGTTTACAGGAAAATGAGTGGAAAGTACAGGGTTCCCATATATCCCCCCTTACATTGCCTACTATAAACATCTTGAATTTTTGTGATATATTACTTAAATGTTGAGCCAGTAATGATATACTATTATTAAGTAAAGTCCATAGAGTGCATTCTGGCTAATTTTTTGTGTTATACATTCTATGGCTTTGGCAAATATGTAATTTCACGTACCTACCATTACAGTATCATGTAGAATAGTTTCACTGCCCTAAAAATCCCGTGTACAATACTCATTCATCCCTTCCACCCAACCTATAAAGAACTGTCAACCACTGATCTTTTACCTCTTCTAGAATGTCATATAGTTAGAATCATACAATATGTAGCCTTCTTAGATTTACCTCTTTTACTTAGCAATATACATTTACATTTCCCCCATATTCTTTGTGGTCTGATAGGTTACTGTTTTTATCACTGATAAATAACCCAATGTATAGATATACCACTCTTTAACCATTTATCTATTATATGACATTGTAGTTTTCCCCATAATTTGGCAACTATGAATAAAGCTGTTATTAACATTTACCAGCAGATATTTGGATGGGCATAAACTTTCAATTCATTTGGGGAAATACAAAGATGTATGATTGTTATATCATGTTATGAGTATGTTTACTTTTCTCATATTTTCTTTTTTTGTATTTGTGTGTTTATTGACTTACTTATATATTTTAGGAGAGTGACAAAGAGAATACCTGAGTAGGGGAGAGGGGAAGAGGAGAGAGAGAGAGAAAGGATCCAAAGCAGGCTCTACACTCAGCATGGAATCTGATGTGGGGCTCAATCCCACAACCCTGGGATCACGACCTGAGCTGAAGTCAAGAGTTGGATACCAATCCAACTGAGCCACACAGGTGCCCCAATACCTCTTAATGGACAGAACAACTAGACAGAATACCAATAAAGACACATAGGAGATGACCATCACTTAGAACCACTAGACCTAACTGGCTCATATAGAACATCCACCCATCAACAATGGAGTATCCAACTTCTTAAATCAACTTTGGACACTGTCCAGAATGGATCACATGTGAGGCCACAAGGCATATCTTAATAACTGAAAAAGATTTAAATCATAGAAAGCATGTTGCCTCATCACAATGGCATGAAATTATAATCAGTAACATAAGGAAAAAAGGAATGTCACAAATTTGGACACTAAACAACATACTTTTAACCAATATTTCAAAAAAAAACTTAGAAAAAAATAGAAGTCTGAAACTATATAGATGATTGACAATGAGAACACAGCATACGAAACTGGTGTGATGCAGTGAAAGCAACACTAAGAGGGCAACTCATAGCAGCAAAAGCATATGTTAAAAAGAACAACCTAAAATCAACAACCTAACTGCAAACAATACAGAACTAGAAAAAGAAAAGCAAATTCAACCCAAAACTAGCACAAGAAAGGAAATGATAAAGATCAGAGTAGAGGTAAATAAAACAGAGAAGAGAAAAGCAAAAACCAGAAAGTTTCTCTCTTTGAAAAGGTCAACATCACTGGCAGAATTTTCAAGTGATTAAGAAAAAAGAAATGACTCCAATTAATAAGTTCAGGAAAAAAGTGGGGACATTACATTGTTTTCTCCAAAATAAAAAGCTTTATAAGAGATTACAATGAACCATCATATGCCCCCCAAATTGGGTAACTTAGATGATATGGACAACATCCGAGAAACACACAATCTACTAAAAATGCTCATGAATAAAAGAAAAACAGAATAGACATAAATCTAACAAGGACATTGAATTCGTAACAAAAACTCTTCCCACAAAGACAAGCCCAGGACGAGATGGCTTCATTGTTGAATTCTACCAAATACTTAAAGAAGAATCACTATCTTCTTTTTCTCAGAAACTTAAAAATTGATAGAGGAGGGAAAACATAGCCTCATTCTAGGAGGCTAGCACTGCCGTGATACAAAAGCAGACAAAGATAGGGAAAGAAAAGAAAATTAAAATCCAATATCCCTGATGAACACTGATACAAAACTTTTCAACTAAATAGTAGCAAATCGAATTCAGCAGCATACCAAAAAGATTCTATACCATAGTTAAATGGTTTTTATTTCAACAAAGAATGAAGGAATGAATGAATGGTGGTTCAACATACAAAAATCAGTGAGTGTACTGTAGCACATTGACAGAATGAAAAAAAAAAACACATGATAATCTTGATTGATGGATAAAAGTGTTTGACAAAATTCCACATCAAAACGTTCATGGCAAAAATAAATTAGGAATAGAACTTTCTCAAAATGATAATAGCCATATGTGAAAACAAACAGCTAATATTATACTCCCAGTGGTAAAAGACTGAAATTTTTTCCTTTAAGATTAGAAACAAGATAAGGATGTCTCTGGTTTAGGCTTCTACTCAACATAATACTGGAATTTTTAGTCAGAGCAAGTGTGCAAGGAAACGTAGCAAAGGTATCCATATTGGAAAGGAAGAAGTAAAATTATCTGTTTGCAGATGACACAATCTCATATGGAGAAAACCTTAATGATCATGGACACAAAAAGGATAGACCTAATAATAAATGCGTTCACGAAATATGCAGGATACAAAGTCAACAAACAAAAGCAGTTAAATTTCTAAACACTTGTATTGAAAAATTTTAAATGGACCTAAGTAAAACAATTCAGTCAGATGAAACCATGATTTGGATAAACTTACATAATGTTAAACAACGTGCGCAAGGAATAATAAGGAAACCTAATCAATATTTCAAGTACGATGAACTAGTCTCAAGATTTAAAAGCACACATTCTCCATTCTTTCTCATTTCAGCCCACTTGTATACTCAGCACATTTCTTCTTTCTCCAATACACCCATCCAAACATTATTACACTTTTATTGTCCCTTAACAAAGAGAAATGGAACACTCATTTGTAAAACAATTCAAAAGCCCTACAGGAGTGTAACAAGACCATATGTTAGATACCAACAAGAGAAATTAAGTATTTATCTTAAAACTTAGAAATAAGTGAAGAGAACTATGGAATTATAGGTCTATTTAGTAGCTTATCTTTTAATTGAAAGAACACTTTGAAACAATGTTTCTTAGAATTATGCCACTAATTTATGCA